AAAAAAAAAAAAAAAAAAAAAAAAAAAAGATTTTGAGGCTGGGGCCAGCCCCATGGCTCACTCAGGAGAGTGCGGCACTGGTAGCGCCGAGGCCACAGTTTCGGATCCTGTATAGGGATGGCCAGTGCACTCAATGGCTGAGCGTGGTGCAGATGATCCCCTTACTGGTCAAAATAAATAAATAAATAAAATTTTGAGGCTGTAGCTAAAACAAAGATATTTAGGACAGGAGACAGAAGACAGTGGTTCTTTAGAGCATGAGAAAAAAGGAAAATGTAATCTGATCTAATAAACCCAGGAGAGAGAGAACTTAGGGTAAGCAAGATAAAATTACCTGAAAATCTGGCCAGAAGACTCTGGATAAATCCTGAGGTTTGTTAAAAATTGAATGCAATTTAGGTTGCCAAATGAGATTAGTATCTGAAGTAGTATCTGTGCAAATACTGTCAGGATTTTTGGCTAATACAAAGAGAAGTGATCATTCACTATCATATACTATTTCTTTTAGCCTATAATTCTCCCAGTATCTTCTACTACAGTGCTTAATTGAGAACAAAATCCAGCTTAGTAATAATGAAACTGTACCAACTACCGACTGTCCATTTCATTAGCTAAGTCCTTCCACACCTCCATTTTACATGTGTCCCTGGTAAGATAATTACTCTCAAACTTCTCTGCCTGTCATGTATGTATCAGGGATGCAAGCAAGTCAATAGTTTAGTGGGTAAGATGTGCTTTTCATGGTCTGGTAAAATCTATCAATGAAATTTTAACCATTCCTGATCCAAATATGAAATTTTTGTATAGAGAAGACTAATTTTGAGCAATGTAAATAAGCTGTCCAATATAAAAGTATAAAAAACAGAATAGTGACAGCCCCAATACCACAAGGCCAGGACCCTGGTGATCAGATTTCTACGTTTAGAATAGTATTTGCTTAAAAAATACTTATGAGTGTCTAGGGTGCCAGGTACTGTTCTAGCACATAAACTCACTCAAAAGAATGAGAGTTAAGATTTCAATAACTCAAGGACTCTTCTAAATCCTTAACATAGAAAGCAAAAAAGAAGTACCAAGTTTCTTCAACTAGTATTCTAAAGCTTTTTATAAACAAACAAGTCATTTCAACTACTTTCTCTATTTTGGACTTTTTTATAGCTTATATTTTCCACAGCTGCTCTACACATATTCAAACAGCTAAAAGTTCAGCAATATACAAATAAAAATAAACCTCAGATCAAAAGACACACGCAAAATGGCTGTTAATATATTAAAAGGTCCTTAACTTCACTCATAACTAAAGAAGTATAAATAAAAACTAGTTTCTACTTTCATCTATTAGGTTAAAAAAAATGTTAAGATTGATAATACCTACTTTTAATGACAGAAAGGCAAGCATTACTCCACACCCTGTCATAACTAAAGAAGTATAAATAAAAACTAGTTTCTACTTTCATCTATTAGGTTAAAAAAAAATGTTAAGGTTGATAATACCTACTTTTAATGACAGGAAGGCAAGCATTCCTCCACACCCTTGGCAAGCATTACTCCACACCCTGTATTGGTGGGAATTTAAATTGATGTATCTTTTTGAAAATGTGCATACCCTTTGAGTGAGGAACTCCACTGTTAGATATTTATCCTACAAATATACTGGCAATGAGAACGCAGGGATATAAGTAGAAGATGTTCATTGCAACATAATTTGTAACCTGGAAACAACTTAAATGCTCATAAATAGGAAACTGGCAGAGTAAATCTATAGTGTAGGAGCACACTGAAATATACTATTCTGCCACAAACAGGAATGATGCAGATCTTTAAAAAACTGATAATGAGATGTCCAAGAAAAAAATGATAATTAAAAAAAGACAGTCTGTATAACAGATAATAAGAATATAACCTCATTGACTAAAAAAAAGTCATGTATAATAAGAAAATTTATAATTAAAAATTTCTAGAAGAATTCCCAAGCAAGTATTTGGGGTAATGGAAGTGAGGCAGCAGGGAGGAGATACTTCAAAGGACTTTCACTTTCTTTAAATATACCATTTGAATTCTCTGAATTCCTTACCAGAGTATGTTTTATTTTAATATTCTGAAAATTTATCAGTTCTGAGATCTGATGAAATTCTTGTCAAATTACAAGCTTATTTCAATTTAAATAAGTGATCCTAGAGAAAATCAATTCACTTCCATATCTGGTTTCACAGATAAAGAACTATAATACCAATTTCTATGGATTATTTAAGGCCATGCTATCTATAAAGTACTTTCAGTAACTAAAATAAAAGTGATCAAAAGAACAAGAAAAATAATAAGGGAAAAGTAGCTGCAAAGTCCAAATTATTATAGAGTATTATAATATCTTCTTTTCAAAATTATCTTGGAAATAAGAAGTTCTAGATTATTTTTTTAAATTACGGACCATGTAAAATTACTTTTTAAGATAACTAAATTGAGTCTTAGCAATCAATTACAGAAGTAGTTTCCTAAAACTTACCAAGTTGGGAACAGAAACAGCAGGAAAAAAGTTGAGTGAAAAGTAGAAAAGGAGGGGATAGAAAATAAAATTAGAGAAGAGTGTAATGTCTGTTAGTATAAACGGGAAAAGGATGATTTTAGAAAAAGTCAATCCCCGCAGTAATACTATACCTAACAGCTGGCTGTGTTCCCCTGTGATGGAGTTCTGACTCGGGTCTGAAAAACAAACAGTTGAAAAGAAAAGAAAAAATGAATGATCAAAACAAATAATTCCTTAAAAATAAGCAACAAAAGTCAACCAATGAAATAAGCAAAAACTTTAAAAAAATAGAAACATTAATGAAAGGATAATAAAAATATAAACTATTGTAAAAAATGATAACATCTCTCAAAAAGTTAAGCATAGAATTACCACATGATCCTGCAATTCCACTCTTAGATATATACACACAAAAGAACTGAAAACAGGGACTCACACAGATACCTGTACAACAAAGTTTATAGCAGCATTACTCATAAAAGCCAAAAGGTGAAGACAACCCATGTCTTCCTATAGATGAACAACTAAACAAAATGTGGTGTACAAACACACACACACACACACACACACACACACACATGCAGAGAAGAATTTTATTCGGGTATAAAAAGGAATTAAATTCTGATACATGCTACTACATGGATGAACCTTGAAAACATTATGTTAAGGGAAATAAAGCCAGACACCAAAGGACAAATATCATATGATTCCATTTATATGTAAAAATCGAGAAAAGGCAAATTTACAGAAACAGAAAGTAGATTAAAGGTTACTAGGGGCTGGCTGTAGTGGGGTATGGCGCATTACTGCTTAATGAGTACAGTCATGCATTGCTTAATGGTATACATTCCAAGAAATGTATCATTAGGCGATTTCATCATTGTGTGAACATCATGGAGTGTACTTACACAAACTTAAATGGTACAACCTACTACATACTTAGGCTATCATATAGCCACAGTTATATATGCAGTCCGATGTTGACTGAAACTTTGTTAGGCGGTGCATGATTATACAGAGTTTCTGTGTGGGGTTATGAGAAATTTTGCAGATAGTGGTAATGACTGCACAACATTGTGAATATAATTAATGCCATTGAATTGGACACTTAAAATGGTGAAATGGTAAATTTTGTGTTATATATATTTTACCACAAGAAAGTAAATAAAAAAATAATAATCACACAAATTTAACCAAGCAATAACAGTCCCATAAAGGCAAAGGATGGTTCAGTGCCTATGGCATGAGTTACATTTTCTCTTTAATGACAAAGGAGCATATGGCCAAAGTAGCTCAAAGTCAAGACATAAATAAAGCACCCATTACTATGAGCAGATATATTCTGATTTGACTTTAAGATAAAATGACTAAACTGGCTTTTATAAATATCTATTTCTTCAGTAATCTGAAATAAAATTGGCAATAAACCAAGTTCCTAATGCAAGACATATTGACAATCACCATTTAACAATCAACCGTTTGCTTATTTTAAAGACTTGAAAAACATTAAGGGTTAAATATGGAAAAGACCCTGAGCTCCACTTTCCTCAAAGATTAAATCTCTTGAAATTCTGAGGATTACATCTGGCTTCCTTGAATGTGTCTCAGAATAAAAATAATTTTAGACTGGGGTTCTGTGAACAAAAGGAAAAAAGTTACATCTTTATTTTTACTAACCTCTTACAGAACTTTAGCATTTTCTTCAATTATAATGTAGGTAACAAATTACAGAAAAGTACCTATGATATTGTCAACAAGAAATATCAGATACTTTCATATCACGATTGCTGTTTTAGACAAAATTCAAATACTATTTTCCATGGTCCATATAAGAGTGTACTTCAAAAGTTCATAGAAAAATAGAATTAAAAGATAACACAAATCGTTTCATAAACTTTTTGAAGTACCCGTGTATACTTTTATATATAATTTAATTAAATCTAACACTTTAAAATAAGGCAGAAACAATCAAAATACTTAAAAAATTCTGGTTTCTGATGTGTACTAGAGTATACTTTACACACTTCAATCAAGGAAGGATTTTTCTATTCTAGAATATTTTGCCAAACATACCAGTAAGTGAATTCCCAGCTCTTACGTCAAACTTGTCTTACTTCCTGTCTAAGTAAAGAATATTGGTTGTTCTTGCACATAAGACAACGTACGAATAACAGTTTTACAGTAAGTTGATGTATTAGGTCTCTTCCTCCCTCTCTCCCTCTTTTCCACTTGATCTCTCAGGGAAAATTGGGTCCTATCAATATAGACAGGCAGGTGTGTAGGTGGCATAGAAAGAAGAGCAGAGCAAGAATCACAGAATTTTACAACTGGAAGAACCTTAGTCATTACCTAGATCTATTCTTGTGACTCTAAAGGAAAAGCTGGAGAGTGGTTATCACATCATATGCAAGGGTACTTCAAAAAGTTTGTGGAAAAATAGAATTTAAAGATAATATGAATCTTTCCATGAACTTTTGTAAGTATCCTTGTATTCTTCTCCCTAAACCATAATAACACCTCTTCTCAAGATCCTGATTCTCAGCTACTGTCACTAATGGGAATGCCTTATATCTCTCAGGTGTGCTGGGACAGAAAAGTTGAGAACCTCATTTCTTAATATTTGTAGTTAAGAAAACTAATGCCTGGGTTAATGAGTGGCCAAAGACCCATTACACTACTGCCAAAAGAGAAAAGTTAAAGATATAGCCATGAGGCCTTGAGAACTTATGTTCATGCTTCTCAATACTCTGTAATTCAAACTTTCTTGTTCTTAAAAAAAAAATTTAAAAAAAACAAACAAACAAACAAACAAACAAACAACAAACTTTCTTGTTCTAAAACAAGGTATAACAGCCTAAAACAAGTTATCTGGAATTGCCAGAGAATGTGTTCTATAAATAGAAAAAATAAAAATCTCAGATAACTCAGGCAGACTAGATATGGTTTTAGGGAAGAAAATACAAATGACTTTTTCTTAAAAAGAATCAACTCCTTCTGTACTGTACTGTATAATATACTTCCTTGCCTTCTGAGCCATGCATATGTGATATATGTGCATTCTATAGTAAAGCCAAGACTATTCCTTTGAACACCCTCATATTTGAGATGAGTAGAGACAAGTCTTTTGTGTAGCTCCCTACAAGTTCAACTTAGATTTTTGTTTTTCATTTATTTTAATTAAGGGATTACAGGGCAATTCTTACTTGATACCTATTTGGTAATTTGAACACTAACCTCCAAAAACCTGCAAATGCTTCATAATTATATGTAAAAGCTAGGTAAGTCTGGGAGTACAAAGGCTTATGAATCCACTGTTATAAAACTAACCATGCCCATAAAAATCACAATTCGAAAGTGAATTTACATTGAAGAATGTTTCTGGGTTTGTAATCCAAATTGTGTGGTCAACATAACATCGCTCTGAGATATATCTGAGCATCTTTCTACTGCCCTGTATTTGAACTCCCATTTAACATTTTTCCTCACTATGTCTTTGGTGAAGACACATCCATTTGCCTAGGACTGGGAGTTGTCCTAAATATTATTTAAAATGACATTTATTTTAACCAAATTACTTCCCATAACAAGAACCAGTGCCAATAACGTGACTATTTTTACCCTTCGATGGCCTTCATAAATTAAGCTACTCCTAGGTCATAATATAACCAGGTTATAATCAAAAGCCTGAGATACTCTACAAGTCAAAATGGTAGCTCAAATAAAAAATAGAAACAAAATATATACCTTTAACAACAGGTAGATGCAGTCAGATAAATGAACTGAAATATTTCCTTGTAACAATAATGATATAGTAGAGTTCTGCAAAAGGGCACTTCCTCAATACATTTGATTTATCCTGGGTAAGTGGTAAAGAACTAAGGTTTTGTTTAGTTTCTTGTCATGTGCCTTGGAGAATAGAGACAGAGAACAATGTTTGTGGGTGGTACTCACTTGCAAAACTGCCCCTGTAAAGTTTTTCTGAAGAACTTTATTATATTCCTTAGCTTAATCTTATAGCAATAGTCTTTTCCCAAATATCCTTTCGGAATCACTTCACCTACCATTCTTGGTAAAGATTTTGAAGCAAATAAAGGCTAACCTGTATCTTACAGCTAAAACTCAGTGTAGAACGTTTTAATCTTGATTAAATATAGAATCATAAATTTCATTAAATAACACAATAGTGAAAATTGCTGCCTAATTCTGTAGATAAAAGAAGTAGGCATGACCAAGTGCATATATATCAGGATAACTAAACTACTATGCTACAAGCTATATTATCTAGACATACTATAGAAGCTATTTCAGGTCTATAGTTATTTACCAAACCCCTGAAATAACTGGTCTTAACATATTTCTAATTTTCCAGACTCCAACTTTTTAAAAAAACCAAAGTATCAGCACCATCATAAGAAATCACTTTAACTCAGAATTAGGCTAGATGATTAAAGATGGAACCAAAGACAATTACTCTAACATTAACATTTATTAGATTCTGCCTCTCTACACGGTACATTCTCATCTTGGTAGAAAACCTAAGTAGGAAAACAAACTGAAATAAGGTAAAATCTGAAAAATCTATCCTTTGCATATAATAGATCCTAAACTTATTGCAATGAAACTGGATGGACCTAGAAACATTAACATGAGATTAACTGGGTTTAAATAGATGAGTGAAAAACAGTGGGCAATTCTAGACAAAGTAATTTAGCAGTAAAATGGAAATGTTAACCAATGCACACAAAAGTTAATAAATAATTAGTTCTTTATGTTTCTAGCCTACCCCATATAAAGGAGAGTTGAAGGATTCTTATTTGAATTTTTAATATAAGAATATAATTTTAAAAAGTTATTTAGAGGTTACTCATGCCCTCAGAAAGGTCATTTAGCTGGGATTTATAGTTTAGTTCAAATCACTTAAATGACAGATTTAAATTCAAATCACTTAAATCTGCCATTTAAGTGATTTGCTATAGACTGATAGACATGGATGGAATAAGCTGTGATAGTAGCAAGGAACCATGTACTTCATGTACAATACAAATTCCTTAGTGCTTAAGTATATATTCTTTAGTATAGTAATAGAAATTTGATAAGAAAATAGTTTGGGGCAGAGGTGGTAAGAGATAGACATGGATGGAATAAGCTGTGATAGTAGCAAGGAACCATGTACTTC